CGTTACATGCGTACATAGGTAATTATTATCGAAATGCCTTCTTAAACAGCTTTCTAGAAACCTATGAAGAAACATATATGACGATACTTTTAATTTAAATAATTTTGTCAAGGAGTGATGCAATATAATTATATATTTAAAATCATAAAGTGTCTATTATAACTATGAAACTCTATTATTCAATTGTTTTCTTAATCGATAATTTCTATTCAAATAATATATACTATTAGCCAGCTTTATAAGCAGAAATTTTTACTTGATGCGATTTTGACGATGAGATTTTGACATTTTTGTTAATGTTTAATCCCAGTCTATGCTTCTCAATTTTTTAAACAAATATTTTATTAGCAATATGGAAGTTCTGATTTATTGCACTTACAGTTGCAACTTCACAACGACTAATTAGTCGTTGCCTCATAATTAAGTCGAAATTCATTCCTTTACATGCGAAGTTAATATATTTGGAGTGTTTACCAGCATTTACTACTTTATGCAAAACCTACATCCTCTTGTAAACTAAGAAAATTATTTGAACGAAAATTTTACAGATAACTTACGTTACTGTTTGCGAAAATTAATTCTAATGTAGAATTATACAACTTGAAACATTTCCACAATACAATGAACGTGCTTTTGTAAGCGAAAACAATTAGCTTGTAATATGCCATTTTCCTATCTTATAGCGAACGCTATGTGAACGGAAAGAACCAGAATGCATCGTAAAATTGGTCATTCGATAAAAGTTAAATCGACTTTTTATTTTATAGGTATTTTCGATTTTCTCCATGAATAAACCATTTCCGAAAACAAAACTATTTAGATGTGTTATTTCCACGGTTCCTTTGGTCGGAACACTGTCGAATTTAGCTTTGTTCGATCGAACAAATACACACAGTTAAGGTAAAATATTGGTTTTCAATGTTTGAAATACAGGTCAGCATTTAAATTTAGTTTAGTTTAGTTTTGGGTTCATTGAGAGATAATACAGAGAAAATAAAAATTTTAAGTTTTATGTGAAATATCGTTGGGAATAAAAATCACATAAAAATGGCACGTAAGTTTCTTTTGATAGTTTATTAGTGAAGTACTTGAGCTGGCTGTATACTTTTACAGTTGAATCTAATACCATTTTGTAAAGCTTTAAGCTAATAAAAGGACCCATACAGCGAAATACTTCTGGCTATAAAATTCAGAATATATAAGAGAGTTCATAGTGAAAGGGGTGTGCAGGCAAATATATGTCTCATGTTTCTATCGAATGAAAACCTAATTTTAAGTTTTTACATAAAATATGCCCCTCTCTGGCAGTTTTTGAGCTTTTTATGCTTGTTTTTCGAATTCCGTATACACATGATAAATAATATTTTGATTTATTATGGAAACCACAGCATCTGCTTTTTTAATAAATTATAATTCGCAAAGACGTCATATGTTAGATTACATTTTTTATTGATGATTTTATTTCTATTTACTTAATAAATAGTAGAAATATACCATCAGTCTGTAATATTTTCCAGCTTCAATTAATTATATTTTTTCAACATGCTACATGTTAATTACAATTCTCGTTGCTTGAATCCAAACCCTAGACAACATATTTAAAACTCTGTAAAAGTCGTTTCAGCCACAAATAATACATTGAGATGCGTATCAAATATGTAAATATTCGACGGCTTTGAAGTGCATTGTTTTAGAATCTGAAAAATGTATCCAGTGCTTCCAATTTCGAAATTAGGGTCTAAAACTTTTCAAGTAGATGTTGGCAAATTTCAGACGATAAATCTGCTCGGGCGTAAATTTGAGAGCTGCAATTTTCCCGCATTGCGAAACATGAAATTTAGGCAAACAATATTCATTTACTTTGCACGTTATATAGGCAAGTAACTACATATTATGTCTGTTACTAGCAAGATTATGGGAGTTGGTGCAGTCTCGAATAAGTACATTTGCACAAGGCAGGTAAACACAGTAAACGGTATTTGCATCATTTGCTTATTGCACTTGATTAAGTCTGAGGGCGAAATGTACACCTTGATTTGGTAGAGATAGATGCGTGTATCATCAGAATGGGATTTACGTGGATGTGCGGGTTTATTTATGAGTTTTCATTGGCCTTAAAGGAAATCATCTTTACAGGTTGAGGCGTTGATTTCAAACATACATACATAGTATTTAAGCATTTATTACTAGAAAGCCCAGAAGTACCGTTTGATATGATTATTCCTAAAACTTCAATTGCGATTTGAAACTTTGAAGATTATAAGTGATACACAAATTTGGAAACTGAATATGAATTTATATAATTAATTATTAAATGATAATAAAATTAAATCTTGTCTCCAGATTGGGAAGACTATTTTCTAACGTCTGGTTGCTTCACACTTTAAACGAGAGTGATAAATCAAACACCCTATTCATCCGGTTTGTACATTGTTTCTCATTGACAAGATTAACCGAGATTCATTGTCACTCATCTTCGATAAGGACAGTGAAATTTAACAATGTAGTTTTATAGTAGAAATATCTATTGCCACCAAACGATTTGTGCGAACATTAAAGATTTTATAGAATGTACGAACAAGTAAACCAGGTTTATGAGTCTGTGTTAGTGAGGGTTTATGTATACCTTCAGATTCAATATAAGAAATTAAATTAAATTACTGATACTTTAGTCAGTTGTTCATAGTTGTTTTTGGGAGATTTTTTTCGGAAAGCTCACTGATTTGTACAACTTATATTTCGAGACTAATTTACACATTCGTCTTTAAACTTATAATAGTGTCCATAGTCTGGGCAACTACAAACAGACATATTTTCTTAGTAAATATTCCGAACCTTTGCTTTAATTTAAAAATTACATTTAACAAGCAAATTAATCGAATCATTGAGAGCACGGCGTCTGGGCGTCTAGTTTTATGCCAGCGAAATATTTTCTCGTTTCCTGCTGTCACTTTCCCCACAAAACCACATTTCTACTATTTACAGTTAGCGCATTAAAGATTTATGCCTTTGTAGTCAGGCTTTTTTCTTTACGGCTGTGGTCAAATGTAAAATAATGTGTTTATCTCTCTAATATACCTCCCATAAATTTGGGAAAAAATAGATCAAAAACAAAAACCACCATCAAAATTTTATGTTTACTTTGACTCAATATTTATACCTTGTAACTTCTGCATGCATCCTCTAAAGCTCGAGGTCTTTTTCTGTTCTTCCTTGTTCAATTAGGTGAACTTAATTTGCAACATCTTGTATAGTTTACAGGTATTTTTGTGTTTCAATTTGGGGGAGGGGAGGTTGTATTGTATTATGGTTTTAGTATAATTTCATGCGGAATCTGGTCGGTCTCCGACCCTCTTTCATTCTCAAATTTCAATCCCATTAATATACACCAATTTGCATATTTGCTCATAGCTTTCGGCTTTTGCTTCGGTTGCAGGCACACATTGAAAGCGGGAAAGTTTTTTCTTGTTGTTACACGGGGAAAAGTTATTTGATAGCTTGGGGCGTTTAATTTTGCGTGTGGTTATTTGGAGCGGGCATTGATTGCCTATTAGTGCTAAACATTCTCATGTCAAAGTGCTGCTTTTGTATTTTAAGCAGAACCTGTGAAAATCTGCGGCTTAAAAAGTTGACACATCCTAGTAGTCGTTTATTATAGCGGGAATATTTCTAATTGGATCAGAAAATCCTATGAAGTATAGTTTTGCTTCAAAAGACATTAGTAACGTAACAATATTTTATAAATTATGTTTGGGCTTAGAAGGGCAAACACAATTAATAATCGGTTGAAACTTACTTTGAGGCATATATATTGTGTCAAATATATATGTTGAAAATGGCTGAATGTTAGGCACATATATTTGAAATAAAAATATCTCTATTTGAAAATTCCTAATTATTTTAGTAGATTAGACCACAATTACGATTGATGATTTTTTACTTAAGGATTCTTTTAGTCATTATTTATATTTTATTTAGCAAGTACTATATTAGACTTGATTAAAAGTTCTAGTTGTGCGTAAAACCACTGCATGCAACTATCTTAATTATTTACAGTTATAAGTTGTGAAAAAACGTTCGTTTAATTCAGGTTTGATAATAATGAATTATTCGTTTGTTCTTGTTAGTATGCTTGAACCTATACATTTTCAATTTAATTTCAAGCACTTGTACTGATGACTTTTACTCTTGACTTAAAATAATTGCTTTATTAATAATTAGAAATAAAATAATGTTTAAGAAAACGTGAAGAAGATCTAACATGCAATCAATTCACTTTTTTTGTACTCCTTCAAAGAGGATAAATATCGTAAGAAAAAAACCATGAAAATCAGTTTATGTAATATGTATATGCGCATTAACAAACTGATAAATATCTGAAAACTTTTGTATTTCTAAATGATTTTGCGACTTTTCTACATTTCTATAACTTTGACACGCAAAGTAAATTTTCTAGTCCAGGACGTATTAATCTGATAATATCCGTATAGTCAATACTTTAGCTGTGGCTTTATCCTACAATCCCGAGGGTTAGGAGAGACTCTTTACAGTTTTAATAAAAAATGATACGTGGTAACAACATTAAACCTAATCGAGTGTTTATGTCACAAAAGGGGTCACTGGAGAAAATATATTTTTCAGTTAACCGCGGTGCTTAATTACTTTTCCTATTGCGAGACGTAAAAATATGTAAGATTGATACGAGTATGTGAATTTTGTAACGTTACGTTACGAACAAATATGCGAAAAAAAAAATTCATTAATTTTTTGCTTGAAAAATTGGGAAAACCAATTCTTCTAATCTACCGTTAAATTAGCCAGATCACATAAAAACAATGTAAATTAGCAATTTCAATCAATTTATTCAATAGCTGAACCATCGGCATGCAAGGTAGCTTTAGAAACTCCATTAGGTAGCGGATTCATCTTTTCACCTAGTTTACTTACTAGTGCAATTAACGGGTTTTAAGTGCTCAAAACTAGTTGTCAAAAATTGCAAAGGTAAAATGCAGCTTTACAACTATTGAAGCAAAAATACAAAAAGCTGTAGGGATTATTCACTAAGGTCGACCCCTTGCAAAACAATGACTTTGGGTTGCTGGAGCAGAGAAAGCTCTGCTTTTAGAGCTATCCGGTTATTCCCTATTCAGTCCAAAGCTCGCCAGCGATCCTGCCGTATCGCTACTGACACCGCGCCGAGCAATCCCGAAAGGAGACGTGTTTTTCGGGTTACGGGATAGTCCCTGATTTATTATTGTGGAGAATCTTTTTCCCTTAATATAAATTTGCAGCGTACGTTTATGTTTTGTTTGAACGCTCGGGAGAATTAATTTCTTGTTTTCCACAAGTGAGAATGGAAATTTTTTGTTTTGTTTTATAGAACTTTTAGTGACGCTCCTGGATTCCGACAACAGCTAGATTTTTATTTTAAGACTGTATAGCAGCCGCTTTTTTGAACGAAATAATAAGGTAATAGAGCACTACAATGACTGTCATTAGTTCGTGTTAAGTAAAGAATGTGGAAGCCTTTTAAAATCTCGTCCTCCAGTTGGTATTTCAGTTAGTTTCATTTTGTTTAAACATGAGGAAAAACTGGGTAAGAAATGTTGCGAAAAATTTACAAAGGAACCCGGTTTTATATATTGTTTTACTGTATTTTTCATTAAAAAATGCCACTGAAATTCGTCTGAACCGTTGTGTTCTTGATAGCTACATTTTAAGATCCATATCAGCACTGCAGAACCAATTTAGATACAAATCTCAACTAAACAGCATATAATTAAATATGCACTGAAATTGTGTTTAAGGGATTCCATACACAGTAAATTTGATAAAACATATATATGTACAAACCATTTCTGATGTCATTCAGCTCATTCGTTTGCATGGCGCAATAATTTATGCACGTTCATGAATAAATAATATATTGTGAGTTTATTTTATCAAATTTAATCCGTTTTAATGGAAAAGCGCAAATAATGTTTAATTTCCACCAATTTACATTACATTGTAAATATTTATTTTACTCGTGCAGATTTATTCTTGTTCAAGACTTTTATTTGATAATTTAGTCAATTGCAAGTCTATTTGCAGACTGAATGGAAGGTAATAGGAAATGCATGATTAATAGTGTTCAGAAATAAAATACGTGTTTCAAATACTTTGTTAATAATAGCCGACAACAGTTATTATGACCTTCTTAGTTTGCATTAACTTGCCGGCCAAGTCGTTTTTCACACTATTTCTTATTACCACAAAACTTGTGAATTTTTGTGAATGTTTATTCACAACACCAAGATTTGTAGCATTGGCAGAATTTCGAACTATATAAGTCTCTTAGAGACAACTCTAATTACTTTACTGTAGCTGTTCGATAATATTTAACATACCTAATATAATTTTATACATCATATAAACTAGCTGCTAGTTAGGTATAAATCCTTTTATTTCCTCGCATTTTAAGAGGTCTGGAGTAGTACAGGGAGACATAATTAATATTATTCCCAGATTCAGTTTGATTAAGAATCCTTAAAGTAATGAATTTTTGCTATTAAATGGCTTTAATATTTTGTCAGGGCGATTACTTGACATTGCTTAATTATTCGAAGCAATTTGATGTAAATATTCCTTGGATATTTTTGGCTGAAAATGGTTTGTTTACGTTGACTTCCAACGGTCTATCGCTGTTCATAAAATAAAAGCAAACCTCTCATATAAAAATTACGAAACTCCAATAATGTTTCTGCGTTAAATATCTTTTAACTTAAGTTTTAAAATCATTATCTACACGTACATAGGCAATCATTCAACCACCTTCTTACAAATCTTAGGAAAACAATCCTGTGTTAAACCCATTCAGTTTAATTAAGTTTCCATTATTTTTAATAAGTTTTCGATTGGATTTACCGGCTTTTCGAAATGAGATCATTATTTCACTAAAGTTTTAAGGGAATAACACAATGCGGGCAATATGCTGTTTTTAATTGGGTTTCGAATTGAACTCAGATGCAATTGAATGTTTGGAAATAACCCTACAGATTTGACTATTAGGACGGCGCTCTAAAGTTTCGATTTATGTGCAAAGAGATCGCCTGATGATATGAATATTAAAGGCTGTTAATGTTGCTGTCCCACTGGAATAATTTCATTAGATACAGAAGCTTTTCCATGAATCAAAGGGATTATGGTCTAGAGGTTTGCAGAAAACTGGAAAATTATTAAACAGTATTTTCTAAAAGTGCATGAAGTGGCATTCGACGATGACTAATGGTGGCCCCCAGCATCTTGCTTTAATCATTTAAATTTCTGCAAACATGTTAAAACCCGGAAGTTCGTATTCAAATTGTCCAAAAGTTGTCGGCTTTAAGACGAGCAGCAACGCGCCATTCAAAATTCCAAAGCCGAACTTCGTTTCAAAGCTGCCATCAATAACCATTTGAAATGTCCTATTTGCTTAATGAATTCGTCGAAACTTTCTTAAATAATACTAGTATACCACATAAACCTCCTAACATTGACGCAAAAATGCCTTGATGTTGAAATTATTTTTCTTGGGACTTAAATAGTTTTTGGTCCTTGTGAGTACGTTTAGTTCTGTTATTTATGATATGATTCTGCTATTAATTTGTCAAATAGTACAGGAGTACCGAAATTTAATGGCAATAATTAAGACGGTTTTTTGTCTTCAGCTTCTGCTTAAATTGCAAAATATGTAAAATATTTTAGTGCGATAATTATGAAGATTGATGTTCATACATTTTTGGCTACGGAAACTTCTTTGATGGAAATTTCCAGTCAATATATTTTTTGATTTCCTATAAACATGACTACTTTATGTAATACTCTTGTCCGCACTACAAAAAGGCAATGTATTTCTGTGGTGTACTTCTAGGATGTTTTTTATTTATTGACAAAAATTCATCGCTCAGTAAACTTTGCTTTTTGGGGAAAGTATGTTGAAAATAATTAATTTTGATGTTGTTTCACACATAAAATAATATTGTTTTCTAATAAATATTAATTTTTTGTACTGAGTTTTAATCCTAAGTTGAAATTAAGCTTAAAGGTGTGATACTTAGTATTTAATTGACATTTTTAAATTAAATTCTCTATACTGCATTTCCGCTTCTTAGTTCTATAGAAACTTAAAAAGTTTTAACACAATAGACGGTTTAACAACTTATCAGGCAAGTCGGTTCGGTCGTTTTCGTGATACGGATTTTGTTAATCGAAAATTTGGACAAAGCGTAATGAGAATTGAAGATGTTCAGTACAAAACACAGTTTCTGTATAACGGAAACAGTGGCTTCAAGTCAGATACTTAGAGCAAAGAATTCCTACATAACAAACTTTAAAACTGAGCTCTTTAGTACTTCTTTATTTTCGCCGAACAAATGATATTCTATTCATATGAAAGCACATAACTTGTCCTAAATGTTTCGCTTTTTAGGGCTCGTATTCATCTTAATATTAAATCATTTTCTTTCTAACAGCTATATAACTTACTTTGAATATAGCCAGTTTAAATCAAGCATGTTGTTGTGAGTTATCGATATCCAAGGTCAGGTATATAGAGCAACTGTTCGGAATCCTATATATACAGCCCTTATAAAATGTAAATCCACACAAACAGTTCGTAGAGCGGATACACTCCTAACCATAACACATATTTAGCAACTCATAAACTTTTTAAAACTCGGGTATATTTTCCTCGATTCAATTTCAAACCAATCATTGATTTTATATTTTGAAGCGCTCTTGTCGAAGTTCTTTCAATTACTGAATGTGAGAAAAATAAACCTTATTTAAGTCAGAATGAAAAGTTAATTGCATTCCCTACAGATTGATTGAAATCAAGTAAATATGTTTTATGTTAACAGTTTAGTTTGTTTCTTTTTTGAAACTTGTTAACATCAACGGTAAAAAATGCTGTTCTAAAATTGCATATTTTTTTTCCAACAGGGAATTCGTTAAAATTCGTAGGCATTTTAGTTTGGGTTAGTTTTCTAAAACTATTTCAACAAAATCCTGATAATGACCGTTAAAACGTTTTAAATCACATTATCTTTATTATTTCTTAGTCCCCCGCTCACATTCCGGTTGAATCCAGTTCATAATAGAAAGTTTACGGTTAATTAAAAAAGTTTTTGAGTTTTATGCGTTGTTTTAAATTTCCAAGGATATTTTAATGTTAATGTTTAGTGTACTTGTATATATCGTACATATTTTACTCTATAAATTACTAAAATAATACCCCTATCGCGTTTTAAACGGCAGGCTGCTATTTAAATTTATCCAGATCCTGCTTTGCAATTGACGAATCTTATCTGAAATATATTTTAAAGGCCAAATAGAACATTTAGTAGTAAAGTATAGTAGTCTCCTGAACATAGAAATTCTAAACTATTTAATTCTTAGCATCAGTTGCTTCAAAATTACATTTTTCGCTTTGTCGGCAGCTGCTTGAGCAAATTGAATGGGACGTTAAAACCAATAGCTGAAGGCTTAATAAACACAGCATGCAGCAAACAATGTACTTAATTGAGATTTCTGATAAATTTTCAGACATATATCAATTGACTGCAGGACAAAACTTTGAGTTAAAGCTTCGACAAGTGTTCGAAATATTGTTCGTTCATCCACGGTTTAATTGCATATGCGCTGAAAATCTAATTTCTTTTTAGTAAATTTTCCGAGAGCTTTCGATTTATTGAAGTGTTATTTTCGAATCGACCTGATAGTTGCTTCAATGTATTAACTGGACTGGAATCACATTATCTGCTTCATACGAGCCAAATGGCTTTGGTCAAAAAGTCGCAAGGATTTTAATCCACGTATTAGTACACTCCGGACCAATTCACTACCGATAAAAGTTTTAATTGATCATGTTTTTTTATTTCGGGAATTACATGCGAAAACGTCGACAAATTTACAATTGAACATTGTGATTAGCAGTAATACTCTTACACATGATGTTTGAGAATTATATTGAATAATTGTCGTCAAAGAATCATTGCTTTGAAGCTGAAAGTTCGCTCACTTGGGAAGTAGAAGAAAGACATTCGAGAATATTTAGTTTGTTACTGAACAACTTTGTTACTGAACATGATTTTCAAACGATCTGTTGATGATCTTTGATTAAAAACAAGTGGAGGAAACAAGTTTTAGGCTGCATAATGATCCATTACAGCGACTGGAGATCTGACTTATACTTTCCAGACAAAGCAACTACACTCCTATAAGTTAGAGCTAATAATATTATATCCAATACGTCTGATTCGCCACATTAAAATAGAATATTTTGTTATTCAGGTGCATTTTTTTTTGGAAATTTGAAATGGCGATGTGGCAGGTTGTCATTCAAATATGGTAAATCGTTATATTATCTACCATACATCTATTAAATTTTTCTGATGCTTGACCGAGCCACTCACAAACCTCAGTCAGATGAAATATCTTGAACTTTTTGC